TTTAGGTCATCCAGGCAGCACTATGATGCACAAAATTATTGAAAATTCACGTGGACATTCATTAACTAATGTCAAGATTCCACAATCAAGTGATTTTCCGTGCACTGCCTGTTCTCTTGGCAAATTAATTATCAGGCCATCTTTATACAAAATTGGAGTTGAATCTCCTGCATTTTTAGAAAGAATTCAAGGAGATATTTGTGGGCCAATTACCCCTCCGTGTGGACCGTTTCGATATTTTATGGTGCTCATTGATGCATCAACACGTTGGTCACATGTCAGTCTTTTATCGACTAGAAATTTTGCATTTGCAAATCTCCTTGCTCAAATTATTCGTTTGAGATCACAATTTCCGGATTATTCGATAAAGAAAATCCGACTTGATAATGCAGGAGAATTTACATCCCAATCTTTTAATGACTATTGCATGTCAATTGGGATTGATGTGGAACATCCAGTTCCACATGTACATACACAAAATGGTCTTGCCGAATCCTTAATTAAGCGATTACAATTAATTGCTAGACCATTATTGATGAAATCCAGATTACCATCATCTGCATGGGGATATGCTATAATGCATGCTGCAAATTTAATTCGGCTTAGGCCAACGGCATATCATAAATTTTCCCCATTACAATTAATATCTGGTAAAGAACCAAATATATCACACCTAAAAATATTTGGTTGTTCTGTGTATGTACCAATTGCTCCACCTTATCGTACTAAAATGGGTCCTCAAAGAAGGCTGGGAATTTATGTTGGTTTTAAATCACCCTCAATTATTAATTATCTAGAACCTATGACCAGTGACTTATTCACCGCGCGGTTCGATGACTGTCATTTTGATGAGACAGTATTCCCAGCCTTAGGGGGAGATATTAAAGAAATGGACCCACGTACGAAAGATATTACTTGGAATGCAACAAATTTATCTTTTCTTGATTCTCGCACAAATGCTTGTGAACAAGAAATTCAAAAGATTATTCATTTACAAAATGTTGCAAACCAATTGCCTGATGCTTTCACAGACTCAAAGAAAGTAACAAAGTCACATGTTCCAGCTATGAATGCTCCTTCTCGAATAGAAATTCCTGCGGAGATTAGCGAAAGAACACTTGCTAATGAATCTATGATACGTAAAAAACGTGGTAGACCACTTGGTTCAAGAGATTTGAAACCAAGAAAATTTAAACAGCAAGTTGTAGTTTGTGATGCCAAAGAAGTTCAACCTTCTCAAGAAGAAAATGAACATTTTGAAAATATCGGCCTTGAAGATAACATCAATAATAATGATACCTCAAAAGAGGATCCAATCACCTTCGAAGAGGTAAATATTCCAGATAAAGATAGAAACGTCGATAATTTTGAAATTTCAATTAATTACGTTTCTAATGGAATACAATGGAATAGAAATGATATTGATGTTAATGATATATTTTCATATGCCATCGCCACAGATATAATGAATGAACACGATGACAATGAGCCTAAATCTATTGACGAATGTCGTCGTAGAAATGATTGGCCAAAATGGAATGAAGCAATTCAGGTAGAATTAAAATCGCTAGAAAAGCGTAATGTTTTTGGACCAATTGTCCATACGCCAAAAGGCGTAAAACCTGTCGGTTTTAAATGGGTTTTTGTGCGTAAACGCAACGAGAAAAATGAAATCGTTAGATACAAAGCCCGACTTGTTGCCCAAGGTTTTTCTCAAATGCCAGGAATCGATTATGATGAGACGTATTCTCCAGTAGTTGATGCTACAACTTTAAGATATTTAATTGGCATGTCTGTTTTTGAAAGGCTGCAAATGCGCCTCATGGATGTGGTGACCGCATATTTATACGGTTCACTCGATACAGACATATATATGAGAATTCCTGGAGGCTTTAAAATACCTGATGCTTATAGCTCGAAATCTCGAGATTTATTTTCCATAAAATTGCAAAAGTCATTATATGGATTAAAACAATCTGGACGCATGTGGTATAACCGTCTCAGTGAATATTTGATTAAAGAAGGGTATAAAAATGATCCTATTAGTCCATGTGTTTTCATTCAACGATCCGAATCAGGATTCGCCATAATTGCAGTATATGTTGATGATTTGAATATAATCGGAACTCCTAATGAAATTGAAAATACTGCAAAATATCTCATGAAAGAATTTGAAATGAAAGACCTTGGGAGAACAAAATTTTGTCTCGGCATTCAAATTGAACATTTGAGAAATGGTATTTTCATCCACCAATCAAATTATACCGAGAAACTTTTGAAGCGATTTTACATGGATAAAGCACATCCACTCAATTCTCCAATGGTGGTTCGATCTCTCAATGTGCATGATGATCCTTTCCGACCTTGTGAAGATGATGAAGAAATCCTTGGTCCCGAAATACCATATTTGAGTGCTATTGGAGCATTAATGTATTTGGCTAATAATACTCGACCAGATATTGCTTTTTCTGTAAATTTATTAGCCAGGTACAGTTCTTCCCCAACAAGAAGGCATTGGAATGGTGTCAAACATATATTCCGATATCTCAATGGTACAATCGATCTTGGATTGTATTTCAAGAATGGTGCAAATGCCACTTTAATTGGCTACGCAGATGCAGGATACTTGTCTGATCCACAAAAGGCAAAATCACAAACAGGATATTTATTCACCTATGGTGATACCGCTATATCATGGAGATCAATGAAGCAAACATTAACTGCAACATCATCAAATCATGCAGAATTAATTGCTCTTTATGAAGCAGGTCGTGAGTGTGTCTGGTTGAGATCAATGATCCAGCACATACAAAATGAATGCGGTATAAAATCTTTTACTTCTAATCCTACTGTGATTTATGAAGATAATACAGCATGTATAGCTCAGATCAAAGGAGGTTACATCAAAGGGGACAGAACAAAGCATATAGCACCAAAACTTTTCTCCACACATGATCTTGAGAAGGACGGAACGGTTGATGTCAAACAAATCAAGTCATGCGACAACCCTGCTGATTTGTTCACAAAGTCATTGGCACCGAAGAAATTTGAAGAACTGGTCCATAAAATTGGAATGTATCGTCTTCGAGATATATGTTAAATTGAGGGGGAGTAATATAATGCACTGCACTCTTTTTCCCTTCGTCAGGTTTTTATCCCACTGGGTTTTTCTTGACAAAGGTTTTTAACGAGACAGTACATTATAATACTATGAAACTAATACCCCAGAATAATTAGAAGATGACCATTCAAGGGGGAGTGTTGAAATATATTGAATAATCATCTTCCAACTATTCATGATCAGGAACACTTATCATCATTGTTAATATAAATAAGAAATCATAATTATGATTTCTAGATGGTAATTGTATGGCTCACAATTAGCCCCTGATCTAGACATGATTACATTTTCTCCTATAAATAGGAGTATTCTCCTTCATTGTAAACACACCATTATCACACTTCTAATAACATCTTTCTCACTAAGTATTCAGACTATACTTTATCTCCCTGATCTTCTGCTTATTTCCTTCCATTTTATAACAATAAGAGTATTATTCATCTCGAGAGAGACCTCTTTTACAACATATGCACATGAGTATTTATAGACTTTGGGAGTTGATATTTTGGGAGGAATCTAATACAATAAATGCTAATTAATGAACTATATTCTTGCTCGAAATAGAACTCCTCTCATGCCTTGGACGTTAAGCATTAATCATCTCCTTCTTGTTTCCAAATAGCAATGTCTGAGTAATAGCCTGCCACGTAAACCTTAGGAATATCCCGACCTCACTAGAACTCCGCCCAGGCTCGAGGCCTGCTTGCCCAGCCTCGAGGTCGGCTGTTCAGCCCGGCCTGGCTGTGGGTTCCTGTCGTGGGCCTGATTCCCAATTAGGCTCAGCGGCTTATTGAGCGCTAATCTCGTTTAGGGCTTGATCCCGTTTATGGGCTAATCCTGTTAATTAGGCTGATCCCGTTGATGGGCTGATTCCATTGATGGGTTGATCCCGTTGATGGCCTGATCCCGTTGATGGGCTGGATTATGTAATTGGGCCATGGTCATAGTCCATGGTACCATCACCCTTAATTTTAACAACGCATATGAAGAAAGGTGTTAGTTGTAGATTACGATAAAAACTTGAGTGTTATTATTATTTAATAATATTTACTACATAATAAAGTTAAGTGAGTAAGAATAATATATTATTAAATGTGACAACTCTATCATTCACGCATGTTAATGTGTATATATATGTTTTAAACACACCAAAGCACAACATTACTAATCATATTTATGCAAAAATATCGATAGAACTATAACTTTTATGTTTACGACTAGTCCCCGCTTAGGCGCCTAGGCGCTGGGCCGGCGCTCGACTAGCGCCTTTTAGAAATTGGCTAGCTATAAAGATTATTTAAATTAGGGGCTAATCATTAATAAGGGCATCCTCATTGTTTAGATTATTTGGGGAGCAATTGGATGATGTGGATGATTTTCTTTGAGATTATGAATGAGAAAGTGAGATTATTTGGAAAGATTATTTTCTCAAAAAAACTGGTATCAAATATTGAATCTAGATTATTTGGGGATTTTTGTCCTAATTTTTTGTTCAATCGTGTAAATCAATGAAAAAGCATTAAATGTTAAGTATAAAACGTTGGAAAAGTTTATGGCAACTTGTTTTGCCTTTTTGATTAATTCTACAAAATAGTGATGATGTGTAAATTATATACGTTTGAATTATAGTTTGTTTTGGTGAAGGTCCCACAAATAATCTCTTAAATAAAGGTGATGGTTGAGGCAATTTAACAGGTTTTAAGATTATTTCAGATTTTTTATGTGGCAGTGATGTGGCAAAAAATTCTGCTTTTTTGAGAGCATGAATGTGGATGCTCTAAATGATCGCATAATATCACATATTATTGCGGTAAGGCATATTTTGAACATTTACAAGTAACGGTTCTATTCATTAAATGAAATAAATTCCAAAACAAATTTTTAAAAGGAAATTGTTTAATTATTATTGAAAAAAATAATAAGAACAATTAGAATCATATATTCAAGACTACAATGGGATAAGACATAAAAACAGACGATTCAAAAGGAAACGTTGAATCGCTAATCCCGCAAAGATGTAGATTCTACTTGCAGTTTGACTGCTCCTATTACAACTTACAACAAAAATAATTATCAAAAAATTCGATTTTACAGCCGGGAAATAAGACATGCACATCGGCTTCATCCACCGAAAAGGAACTATGAATCTTCTAAGTTTTACAAGCCACCGATATGGAATCAAATGTAGAAATTGTCCTGATTTCACCGGCCACTAGCAATAAAGTCAACCATGTAATCTAATTTTCCTGGTAATGCGGTGCTTCGAGAGGATGGCAAATTGCCTCATATTGGTGCAAAAGAAGTTAATTTTATGATTGATGAATGAGCGCAAACTTCTTAGTAGCATACACGAACACTAAACTGAAGATGGCGGAAAATAAACACCTGGCAAACAACGAGCCGTCGTAGAATAAAAAATCATTTAAACATCGCTAGGAAAGAAACACGCATAATTAATGAGTTGAAAAAATTGAAAGAAGAGAAGATGAAGAAGCGGCTAGGGTTTGCTCTCTCCATCGCCGTCCCTAGCTCTCATATGACATAGTATCCAAATTATTGCATGTACTCAAACTGCATAACTTATTGTTTGATGTGAAATAAGGCTTCATGAAATCATATCGCATTCTGATACATTTATATAATAAAATGAAAGTCACATATTTCACCATCATTTTATTTCAAGACATACTTAGCTTCCTACGACCGCTAAAGGGTTGTTGTTATTGAAACGGTGATTAGAGAGAACATAAGCAGAGGCGAGAGAGCTGGAGGCGAAGGCGAGAAAGGCAAAGAAAGACATGACAATGGAGGCGCTAGCCATTTGTGTGAACTCATCTTTCCCCCAATTTGATACCCAATCTTCCACCCTTGTTGCCGCTGATGATGATGCCGACATCAATAGGTAAGCCAAAATCTGCATCCAAATCAAATCATTCATGCAAATATATACGAAGTATGTACATTTCAATTCCAAAAATAACCATGGACCGAGTTTTACAAAAATACTAGGTAGTGCCATTGGAATTTTAGAAATTCATATGTTCGTCTCATATATGAATGTTTTTGGTTTGATTTTTTAAGAATTGGTCTGGTATGATCTAAGACTTTCTGATCTGATATAATATTTTTTATCTACACAAATATTTATTATTATTATTACAATTATTATTATTATTATTATTATTATTATTATTATTATTATTATTATTATTATTATTATTATTATTATTATTATTATTATTATTATTATTATTATTATTATTATTATTATTATTATTATTATTATTATTATTATTATTATTATTATTATTATTATTATTATTATTATTATTATTATTATTATTATTATTATTATTATTATTATTATTATTATTATTATTATTATTATTATTATTATTATTATTATTATTATTATTATTATTATTATTATTATTATTATTATTATTATTATTATTATTATTATTATTATTATTATTATTATTATTATTATTATTATTATTATTATTATTATTATTATTATTATTATTATTATTATTATTATTATTATTATTATTATTATTATTATTATTATTATTATTATTATTATTATTATTATTATTATTATTATTATTATTATTATTATTATTATTATTATTATTATTATTATTATTATTATTATTATTATTATTATTATTATTATTATTATTATTATTATTATTATTATTATTATTATTATTATTATTATTATTATTATTATTATTATTATTATTATTATTATTATTATTATTATTATTATTATTATTATTATTATTATTATTATTATTATTATTATTATTATTATTATTATTATTATTATTATTATTATTATTATTATTATTATTATTATTATTATTATTATTATTATTATTATTATTATTATTATTATTATTATTATTATTATTATTATTATTATTATTATTATTATTATTATTATTATTATTATTATTATTATTATTATTATTATTATTATTATTATTATTATTATTATTATTATTATTATTATTATTATTATTATTATTATTATTATTATTATTATTATTATTATTATTATTATTATTATTATTATTATTATTATTATTATTATTATTATTATTATTATTATTATTATTATTATTATTATTATTATTATTATTATTATTATTATTATTATTATTATTATTATTATTATTATTATTATTATTATTATTATTATTATTATTATTATTATTATTATTATTATTATTATTATTATTATTATTATTATTATTATTATTATTATTATTATTATTATTATTATTATTATTATTATTATTATTATTATTATTATTATTATTATTATTATTATTATTATTATTATTATTATTATTATTATTATTATTATTATTATTATTATTATTATTATTATTATTATTATTATTATTATTATTATTATTATTATTATTATTATTATTATTATTATTATTATTATTATTATTATTATTATTATTATTATTATTATTATTATTATTATTATTATTATTATTATTATTATTATTATTATTATTATTATTATTATTATTATTATTATTATTATTATTATTATTATTATTATTATTATTATTATTATTATTATTATTATTATTATTATTATTATTATTATTATTATTATTATTATTATTATTATTATTATTATTATTATTATTATTATTATTATTATTATTATTATTATTATTATTATTATTATTATTATTATTATTATTATTATTATTATTATTATTATTATTATTATTATTATTATTATTATTATTATTATTATTATTATTATTATTATTATTATTATTATTATTATTATTATTATTATTATTATTATTATTATTATTATTATTATTATTATTATTATTATTATTATTATTATTATTATTATTATTATTATTATTATTATTACCATTATTATTATTACAATTATTATTATTATTACAATTATTATTATTACAATTATTATTATTATTATTATTATTATTATTATTATTATTATTTCTATTATTATTATTATTATACTACCTCCGTCTCGCTAAGATTGTCCCATTTTACCATTTCGGTCCGTCCCACTAAGATTGTCTCATACCTTATTAAGTAAAGTTTGTGTGGCTCTAAACCATTTTTTATAGATTTGCGTGTCACACTCTCTTGTCCCATTGTTATTGGGACGGAGGGAGTAGTTGATAGTATCATGGATCGCAATCATGGCCCAAGTACGGATTATATATGAAACCCATTATACGGGATAAGTAAATCAAACTCATTAATTGGGATTAACTAATAAGAGCCACTAGGCCTAACAGGGGATCATGACCCGCGAAAGGAACCTACAGCCAGGCAGGCCTGAGCAGCAGACCTCGAGCCTGGGCAGGATTCTAACGAGGTCGGACTCACCCTAAGGCGTACGTGGCAGGCTATCAATTGTGTATAGCTATCTGGCAGCGACATGGATTTAACGGAAGAAACATGGACATAAATGAATAATAATAATTGCATAATAATGGAAAATGTTAGAAGAGTCCTATCATGATTAGACTATTAAATGTACAAGTTATATCTCTTTAGGCTACTGTAACCCTACGTCTATAAATACTTCTTGTACTTACCCTAAAAGGATTTGCCTCCTAAATAATAAAAACTGCCTTATGCTGCCTAAATACTCTATTCTCGTAGATTAGCTCATGTATTTAGAATTAAACTCCATCATTTGGTGCTCTCGTTGAGTGTCAAATTACGACGAACACGATGGTTGGATCACACAGTCGCAACCGTTCTGGCAGTAACCAAGGCGACGCTAGAATGAACAAAGTCGTGATTAAGGATGGAGGATCCCATTCACGACACAGCGATTTCCGAAGGAGGAATGACAATGTGTTGACGCCAGGCGATTTGAGGAATCGCCTGCATGACATGGGGAGTTCTAGGCACCTCATGACTCGTCCATCATAGTTCTGAACACCGGCGACAAGGAATCCCGTTCCAGGCATGGATCCGACACAAGCTTTGGCAAGTTTGGCGACTTTTCAGCGGGTTGTGGAGACCTTGACCACGGTTTTCCAGGGAATCGTTCCCAATACGGATGAGAGGCAGCCTACTCCCAATCGTGTGCCATCCGTACTAAACCAGGAAGAAGTGGAGGCGGTGTTTGTGCACCTCCAGAGGAATACACCTCCGGCAAGGTCTCAAAGTTCACATCATTCCCGCCAAACCCCAAGGGCATCAGTGATTGATCGTATCGGGGAAAAGAGGGTTTTTGTCCATAACAGACTCTCCTCTAGAATTGAAAGAAGCGAGGAAGCATCCTCTGCACCTGTTTCCTCCCACTATCGCATTGCGCGTGGGGGGGGGGGGGGGGATCCCAGGCACGAGGTCCCTTGACATGGGCAAGCCCGCATAGACCATACTCCCCAACCCCACAGCCAGGCCGACCGAGATGTGGACGACCTCAGAAGATGCCTTGATGAATTGAGAATAGTGGTGGGTGGAGGGGCCAACCCCACCCATGATGTGAGGATTCCCGAGCCATTTATTCCGCGAATCATGGATGCCCCACTACCTCGGGGGTACAAGCCTTGCAACATCGAGGCCTATCAAGGTAAAACCATCTCCCCGGCACCACATTTCTAAGTACATGACATACATGCTGATGATGGGGTACGATGATGCAATCAGATATCGAGGGTTTTCGGTGACCCTGGATGTGCTAGCTCGAGAATGGTATGACGCCTTACCCGAAGGGAAGATACAAAATTTATGGGAGCTAGCCCAGGCATTTATCGCACGATTTTCAATTTCAAAGGATCCAGAGAAGAACTTCTCTCACCTTCTAGGCGTCAAACAAGGACGCCAAGAGACCTTAACTACCTTCCAGACTAATTGGAGGGACGAATCTGTAAAAGTTGATGTCCTGGACGACAAAGCAGTTGTGGCCATTTTCACCAACACTTGAGGTCAGGTGAATTGCACAAAGAGTTCATACGATAACCCCTGACCTCCCACGAGGAGTCCCTACGATGATCTGACTTGCAAGTGGAAGTGGAAGAGGCAAAAAATCAGAAAAGAGGGGAAGAATATGAAAAGCTTCAAGCCGATAAGGACAAACACAAAGGAAGTGAGTTCAAAAGAAAGAAGAAGGGCTGGAGCAAAGGGAAATCAGGGGCACCTGATGGACCTTTATCCAAATAGTCAGAATTTTCCCCATTAACACATCTGGTGAGTACAGTCCTAAATTATGTAGCGCAACAAGGCTTAGTGACGGTGTCCGACACCTGTGATGTTATCAATTGCCAGGCTAGTCGTGGGAAGTATTGTAAGTTACACAAGAGCAACGCCCACGAGACGGATGAGTGTTATGTTCTGAGAAAGTATGTAGAAACGCTCATTCGAGATGGATAATTGGATCAATTCGTGAAAAAGAACAGACGTGGGTCATGTTAGAGCAAGAATTTGACGGTTTATGTTGCATTTAAGAGAGCTGACCACAAGAGTTAATGGAGCGTCCACCAATCTCATTTTTAATTATTGTAACGTTTTCTATACATTATTAGGCTCTTTAATGTTATTAAGGAAGGTATTAAATGTAATTGATCAACATTTATGACAGATTTGAAATCATCATAAAGTACGGCCAACTCGTCAGTAACGGACGGCCAACCCGTCAGTAACGGACAAAGCCATCATGAGAGCATTAACTACCCTTCCTATAAATAGGACATCCCCCATTGTAACCAGCAACGACACATTCGAATAATACATTGAATTTCACTCTTATTTGCTCACTTGTCATCATCTTCTTCATTGTTCTTGTACGAGACCCTATCTACATATAATTCTTTTTTTAAAATTAGTTTTAGCTCGTCAAAATTTTGCTAAAACAATTTGGCGCCCACTGCGGGGCCT